AAGGAGTCTGTGTTACACGCCCAGGGGCAACAACCAGATGAGCTAATTGTGGCTGACAGCTCCCAGCACAGGCAGGTCTGGCAGAGGCACACAGTAACTCAGCCATAAAATGGGGGGACCATCCCACTCCTCATCCTCAGTGTCCACCTACACCCTAGCTGTGCCGTACCACTCGTAAGGGATGAGGTCTGTCCCACAAGTGTGAAGACACACTGTTATGCTGTTGCAAGTGGTTTAGATAAGTGAATGGAAATAAACAACGTCCTTTCTGTGTTAAGACAGCTGGAAAGCCAGGGGGAGGCCACACCTAGGACAGAGTTGGGCTCAGTGATTCAGTAGGGGATGATTTGTTCCATTTCTGCATCACTCAAAGTGCATCAGTCATTCGTACTGTAAAAAGCAGACCAACTTGACATCCCTGGCCAGGGACTAGAGACAACAGGGATGAACATCTACTAGCAGCAGAAGAGAAAGCAGAGGGTTTAGAAGTAAAGGTGGAGGTTTGCTGTGGTCCCAGGCCTGCATTGTGACCCAGACAAGCAGACTGCTACAGAGGTCCCAGAAGTCAATAGATTTCAGTGCCCATATGGCATGGGATTTTCTCCCTTTCTTCTCCCACCCGCTTCTGAATCCTTCCACTTCTCTTCTGCCATTGCTACTCCTTTCCCTTCTTTCTGCATCTTCTCTCCCTCTCTTGGACTCCTGCTTGCTCTGGCACTCCTTCCTGTCTTCATCTTCTCTTAATTCCCTTCCCCTCAATCTCAGATAGCTCCCTTCCTCCTCTATCAACAGACTGGAGTCCCTCCTTGACCTCCTCTCCTCCCTTCCCCAAGGGGTTGAGGGTGAGAGGGAAGTTGAGGTGCAAAGCTAAAAGTGGGCAGGGAGAGGGAAGTTACTTCAATAAGAAGGAAAAGCCTAGAGAAGAGGAGGAAGTAAAATACTAGTGAAAAGAAAGGCTTGGCTCTGTTGCTTTGTTTTGCTCTCTGCAATGGATCCCTCCTAAACTACAACCAGCTCTATATTAGCTGCTAGGAGAACACAGACCTCATGCCACAGTGCTATGCTTACCTCCCACACTGCTACTGTGAAACTGGCCGCATCAATGAACGTGAATGCACCCAGTGCTTTCAGCAAGGCCGATGAGGCACTGATGATCAAGGGCAGTCGGAATAATGGGGAAGGATCCAGCACTCACTGAAACCAGTGAGTCATTTGGATGGCTCCAGTAGAGTTAGAAAGAGCTAAAAGTTTGGCTGTTCTACACCAGCTTAGGGGTGGGGGAGCACGCTTGGCAGCTTGACAGAGAACTCTGCTCCCGCTGAAGCCAGTGGCAACACCCCCATTGCTTTCAGTGGGAGCTGGCTGTAACCCCAGTGCTTCCAGGATGCTGAGCTATGGCAGGTTACAAGTCCTTCAGCCAATGAAACCCCTCTCCTTGCACCAACTTCTACAGATAACACTTCCCTGACTCAGAATTCTGCGTGGCTCAGACATAATGGAAGGAGTGTGACACTTATGCTACCCACTAGCTATTGAATAGCTCTTGATTGTCAATAGCCCAGTATTTGCCAGACAGAGCAACAGTTCACATCTCTAATGTTTCAGGGACCAAACAACCCGGATCCCACTTTCAATTGAATTCTTTTATCCGGGGAATGAATGCTGGCTTGTGGCTTGGCTGATCTTGTGGATTTCAAACTCCGAATGTGCTGTTAAATGAAATACCACACACTTGCAGTTTGCCTTTCTCTCCTCTTTGTCTTCAGCAGAAACAATAGCCAAGGAGTAGCTGTGAGTTATTTAATGTCCATGTCCTAGTGCAGGGGATGGCAGCAATCTGGGGCAGATGTTTAGATTAGATTTTTTTTCTACTGCATTTTATTTGTATTTGAGAGTACCCAACTACATTCTGGAGACTTCAGTGTCCTACTGGAATCCAGACCTATGATCAACAGCTAAAGGAGGAAGGGAGCCAGGCAAAGGAGGAGTGGTAATCATAATACTCTGGAGAGAGTAATGTATTACTCTCCAAGCATGTATTAACTTACATGTATTATGCTCTCCAAGCATGTATTAACTTACTATTTCCATTGATGTCAGTGGGTTGGTTTCTTTAATTCTTGCTACAAAATTTTACATCTTGCAACCATTGCAGACATACAATAGTTCTCTGTTCTGTTTAACACTTATGTTGTACCCAAGGTCTTTGGTTTCACTAGGATCCCCCTGTGCTAGGTGCTAGGCAAACAGAAAGTTAAAAACAGTGCTTTCCCCAAAGAACTTATAACCTAAATTATAAGATATGATGAGGGAATGAGACAAACAAGTGGGAACAGAGGAGACAGTTACAAAAAAACAGGGACCAAAGCCCTGACTCCATTGTACTTCATGGCAAAACTCCTATTGACTTCAGTGGGCCTGGATGTTTCAGTTCAAAGTACCACTGCACCCATTCTCTGCCATAGGTGTGTATGCTAGATATGAATAACAAGGATATTGTAGCTTGGCAAACCAAGCCGGGAGGTGGAGTGCAGATGAAGTAGTCCTTTGCACAGGTGAATGATGGGCTGGTCAGGGAGAAAGACACAAATGGGGCATCAGGTCTAGAGTCACAGGGAGAGTGGAAGAGGAAGTGATAAGAGGAAAGGTTCAGGGTAGGTCCGAACTTGAGAAAGGCCTTTGAGGTAAGAAATACCATAGAATGGTTGGGAACATCTGTTCCTATTCAGGGTACCTAAAAGAGAACACCAGTGGTAATTTATGACCTGGAATTACCATTTCCTGTTACTCCTTTTTAACTGATTTTTTTATTAGTAATTTTCAGAGGGAAAATATATCAGCACATATCCAATTTCCATACTTGGGAAAATGAAGCTAGACACATTCATCAGTATGTAGACCCCATTGGGGCAGATCTAGGATTTAGCAAAATGGGATGCAGGAAGCAGCCATCCCTGCTCTCGGCCTCCTCCCCTCCAACTCACCAGTGCAGGCAGAACCTGTGGCAGGAGCATCTGGGGACTTTTAACGTTCCCAAAGCAGGTAAGCCTACCTACCCCCTTTCCCTTCCGTGCTCAGAGGCACATCCGCTCCGCTCCCTCTCTTCCTCCTCCAGTCACTGCTGCTTTTCCTGCTGTCCCGGGGTCACAGGAAGCTTCAGAACTGCTCCTGCCCACTCAAGTTGGGCTGCGTGAGGGTTGGGCTTAGCTGGGAACAGCAGCAGTAGGGAGATGATGGGTTTCCCCACACTTTTCAGTCCCCCTCAGGAATGCATGCAGGAAGCCACTGCTGCTGTCCCTGCCCTAGGTGAGCCCAGCCCCTTTGCCACCCAGCTGGAGTGGGCAGGAGCAGCTCTGATCATTGCCTCACCCCTGGAGCAACAGGGAAAGCAGCCATGACAGGCGGGGGGCAGCAGAACGGGAAAAGGCATGTTTGTGAGCGTGAAGGGGAAGGGAAAATCCTCCTCGACTTTGGGGACTTTTTTAAAGTCACCTGAAGCTCCAGCAGCACAGTTCAGCCAGAAAGGGGGGTGCAGCCGCACCACTGCACCCCCTCTGGATCTGTCCCTGGGTCCCATTCCTGCAGGGTAGATGGGTAGATCTCTACTGGAAGTCAAAGGGCCTGTCCACACACTTCTACATATATGATCAGATCAGGACCTACAGGGCTTAATTTTCAAAGGATATGAGCACATGGAAGCTTCCACTTATTCACATTAGTAGTTGTAGGTCCCTGAAAATGGAAGATCAGACTACAGGGCTCATTTTAGATTTAGGTGCAATATCAGGCAGGTGTAGTTAGTGATATAACAGCTTATTGCTAAATGTGTTTATCATAGTCACAACTTTTCTAAAAAGTATCAGCCCACACAAGGCTTTCACTTCTGGAATTTATACAAACATATACTCCTTTGATGTGAACTTGCTTAAATGGGTTGTAGACCAGCATAAGTGTTGTAAGCCAATTTCCATGGCTTTTGTTGTGGAATTAGAGAGACTCCTCAAACCATTCCCTGTTGCTCTCCTTGGCCAAATGTATAAAACTGAACTCTGTGGGCAACACTGAGATCTAAAAGCATGAAGAGATTGAGCCTGACAGTTTAGTAAGTCATAACAACACAAAATGCCACGAGGGGAATATGTAAGTAAATATGGGATCATTCCAGTGCATCAACATTTTCCAAACTCCTCTCCATGTTTTGGTCTAAAATCTAGTATATATTTAAACTTCACTGAATATACTTCATATTAATTTAGCCTTACCCATCCTTTTTTGGAAACTGTACTATTATGTCTGTCTTATTTATTCATTTTGTAAGTAGTTTAGGGCAAGGAAATTCTTCTAGTTGCACAGATTGCAGCACTATAGAATCCCATTGTTGGCTCACACTTACATATTACCATAATAAACATAAAATTATCATTACTATTATTGATCTTCACCTTTCTCTGCCCCATCCAAGCACACACATCAGGGATGCCTTCACAGTCAAGCCACCCATTTTATTTGCCTGTATCATCCAATCAGCAGCAATGCCCCTCCAACCTGCATGTGGAATGAGGGTAGTCAGGTGAGGACTCAACTTGATTTGCTCAATCCTTCATTTCCTCACTTCACTTATTCCAGTAAATGGATTTCCATCCAGAAGGCCAGTAAACAAATTGGATTTGTGCTGGTGATTTCTATATTCCACTTAGCAGCTATTCCTGAGTCCCATTACAGTATGGAAATAAACTGAATTTAAAGAACTGCTGATATCACAAAGGAAAATTAGGGGATATCCTGAGATAGATGCTCCCCTGTGGAGTTGGAGAATGACTGAATGTCTGCCTTCTGATTTTTCTCTCTGTTTATGCACAGGGAGGTTAGCATGTGTTTCTACCACAAGTGACACTCCCACTGGGACTCTGGTCAAACAACTTTCATTTCTGCC